GGCATTATTATAACCAGCCTCTTTTGCCCACAACCCTGCATTTTCAGATAAGACAGGATAATTGTTTTGTTTTGAGAAAACCGAAGCTTGAATCTCTTAAAAAGACCTGCAATTTACTGCACAGTGATCCAGAGGTAACAAAGGAATCAGGTTAATGGCTGCCTGCACCAAAAGCCTCTCAATCATTTTGCAGTAAATAATTATGGAAAGTGACATGACAAGTAGCCATGTGTGTATCACAGCTACAGTCATTTATACCACCTACATGCCTCCAACAGTTACATAGGGTGTCTGGGTTTTTGGTTTGGTTTTCACTTATAGATTTTTGGTGCCATATAGATTTATATTTTGATTTGTGCAGCATATGCACTGAAAAACTTGCTGACTAGAACTGCTATTCCACTTGCTAAAATGATGGGTAAGGACAATAGAAACCAGAAAGGAGTAATAAGATCTCTTCACAGATTTTTACTCTTGATTCTGTTCCTAAAAGTTGAATTCTCATCTCTGTAGCAATGGTAGTTTGAGAAACAAACTTTCCACCAATTATTTTAAAAGGAGTTTTAGTTCCCTGCTTTTCAGGAATATACTATTTTGATTATCTGGGATGTTTGCCAGATTAAAACACAACCTCTAAATAGTTCATAGTAGCAGTTGAATAACAAAACAAAAAAGCTGGTTGTTTCCCATAGTTTATACAATGCCATTATTTGAGTGAAACCAACAAAGACCATTTCTCTCAATAAGCTAATATTTATGAATGAATCTCTATACTTTGCTGATTTCTATTGCCCCTAGTCACTGGAATAAGGATCAGTGAAATGCTACAATTAATCCACATCCTTCTGCAATCTTCCTACAGTGGGAAGAGAGGCCATGAACCACCCCCTGCAGGAGAAATAAACCTTAGAGATTGGTTAAGACTTAAAAACCCACCACTATGACATTTATCACTTAATCTTACATAGGCAGGTCAAAATTTTAATATAAATTACTTTTGCCAACACATAGCTTATGCATTCTTTGCTCCTTTTTTTGGAGGATTCTCAAATTGATATCTAAAGATTTACATATGATATATTACTGTTATATGGTCTAATGACTAAGAAAATTTCTCTGGTAACCAAAGCTGATGCCATATATGGTAGTGTTCTTGGCATATACTCTATATGCCTCAGACCACTTCCACATTCTTTCTATTCAGCTAATTATAGCTTAGTAGCCACTGGTGAAGGATTGTGAAGACCCTGTCATTTCTACAGAATAGAAAGGCAAGGCTAGTTACTGCAATTCAGCCAAACAAAAAGAAAAGAAAAAATAAACCAACCCCTTGAAAAGGAGAGGTACTGCACCTTTGCAAAATTGAACTGGCTCACTGCAGCTGAGCAACAGAACCACCACTGAAGCAAGAAAACAAGTTGGTCTATACAGGAATTGTACATGGTTTGAAAAGGAAAAAGTTACAGCAATCAACTAATAGCTGCAACCTTAATTTTCATTGCTGCCTCAGAGTTTGAAACTTAAGTTTCTGCAAACCTAATGCTAGCTTCTTAGCTCCTTTACTAAAACTAGGAATTTGTTCTCCGCAGCAAAGAAATGAACACTCAAAACACATAGGTAAATACAGCAGGACATTATTGAAAACAGCTGCCTTGTAGTACAAAATACAGTACAAGTATACGGATGTCATTAAAACATCAAAAATACTATTGCTCCCATACAATTTAGGAAACATTCTTTGCAACGGAGAAAAATTTAAAAGAAAAGCTTTAAAAAAATCTGTTTAAAAATTCTACTGTGGATGATGAGAGTAGAGAAATAGTCTGAAAAGGGCACCAATGTTTGTGGCTCTTCCACTTTTTTTTTTTTTTAAATCTAAGATCAACAATATTCTGAATCATAGTCTATGTTTTAAAAAAGCCTAATTTTATATACACAATTATTTCCCTCCCTCTCAGCCACAAATACATGAAACGACCTTTTTGTATATTACTTATTTCCCAATAAATACAAAAAGATTGTATAGATTGAATAATACCAAAATAAGATAATAAAAAGGATATGCAATAAATTAAAAAGGCAGCTCAAATAAAGGGCAGGCATGCAGTTAAAAAAAATACTAAGATTGTGGAGGTGGGGTTACTTGCCTCCTGGTTGAGAAGGTGTCACACAAAGAATACCTGAAAACTTTGGAAAGAACATTAGCCCCCATTCAATTCAAAGTTACCTAGGTCTATGACACTTTTAGGAATACCTTTTGATGGGGTTGGGATTAACTTGATTAGTAAAAATCATTTCTACTGAAAATCCTTTTAAAATATAGAAGAGGCGATCCTTGAAAACCCCAACTTTTATTCTTGAAAGACAGCTGGATAAACTGGCAAAAGCCAGTTTGTTGAAATTTCAAGATGGTATAAAAATGCTTCCAGGATAAAGTCAGCTTATTCACGTTCACTTCAGTTCCATTCACAGATGGATTTCAGCTTCCACCGGGAGCACTGCTTGAATCATTCATCCATCATTTGCCAACTTTGATTGTGAGGTACTGATACAATGGATCAAGTTCTTAAAATTTTATTTTAAAATAAATGATGCTGGAATTCTGGACCTGAGGATCTTTAGTATCGAACAAATCCACAGATTAAACTGAAGGTAAATTAAGACTTCAGTTTTGGTTATTTCCAACTTTTCTGTGAGGATGTATATTCCATTAAAGCTCAGGCTTGTAGCCACACTGTTCCTTTAACAGGTATTTGTCAAGTTTTACGGTTTAAAATGCAGCCAACCAGTGGCTGTAACAGCCGAATTAGCCATAATTCACTGGCTCATATGGGAGCCATAGGGATCTGGCTCTCATTCATACCTAAGCCATTTCTTGGTAATGACCTCCATACTTAGAGATCAAGGGAAGAACTTTAGTGAGCAGCAACCAATCCACTCAAACAGTTTGCCTTGTGCTTTATGCCTGACTTCTTGTGCCTACCTCAGCAATCCCCAATGTAAAATTTTTATTTTTAAAAAATTTGCAAACTTTTAAACTATTTTAGTAATGGATTCTAGTTCAAGCATTGATATCAGAATTTATCTGCATCCCGGAAAACAATTCTGCAAAGAAAAGACATGGGCCTTGGTCCAGGTTCCATGCAAAACCATTTTTTAAAAAATGGATCCAATTTGTTTCTATATTCTCCAATGGCTTCTTTAATTCTTTTGCCCTGTCCATGATTATGTGAAGTTGCATTCCTTTTCATAAACCTGTACCCTCAGAACTGGGTAAATGCAAAGGCCTTTCTTCTCAAGGATCCCATTAAGATCTAGATCCAAAACGCTGATTTCAATGGATGTAAAGGGATAGATACTGCAATAGTGAGGCCTGGAGAGACCTTTAGATTACCCAGGTACAACACAAACTTAACTTTATCAATGGGTGGGTCTGGGTGACTCAGACGTGTTTTGGGCCCAGACGTTTGAAGATCTATCCCTTCCAGGGTTATCCTGATGGCTTTAGGAACCTCGGCTGGGAAACAACAGAAGCTGAGACTTTCGCGCGGGTGAGGAGACGCTGTTGTCCTCTCTTTGCAGGTTGCTGTCAGTTCCTTGGAACTTTACTGCTTTTCTCTAATTGTCCGTGACTGTTCTTTTACGGTTATTTTTCTTAACTATATTATTTTTTATTTTGCTTTCTCCCTTTGCAGCCTCCCTTGTTCCCTTCTGCACTAACTCACTGGAGGTGAGCAGAAAAGGGAACTTTCTAGCCAAGGGGATGGTGGTGGGGTAGGGGAGGCCAGTAGGGGAAGCTGCCCATTTCAATCCTCATCCACCTCCTCACCCTCGGACTCGTCGCCGCCGCCGCTGCCCCCACCACGGCGCTCATAAAGCTTATCCCTCTGTCGCTCCTGGATTTCTTTCATCTCATCCGCATACCGGCAAAAGGCGCCTCCGAACTTGCCCCAGGCCTTGAAGGGTACAGTGATGGCGTTGCGGTAAGACGGCTTCACCTCGCTCACACGCAGAAACACCCCGTACTTGTTGCAGCCCACGTCGAAGAAGAAGCGCTTGGAGTCCACCGTGATGGAGGTGCCCTCCGGGAGCTCCCCGTATAGGCCGCCCCCGGGGCCGCCGACGCCGCCCCCCGGACCTCCGGTCAGCTCGTCCTCCTCACCGCCGTAGTCGTCGATGAGCTTGGCCAGCGCGTCGCGGAACTCGATGAGGCCCTGCGCGGGCAGCGCGATGGTCTGACCGCTCTGTAGGCCGCCGGGCCCGGGCCCCGCGCCGAAGCCGCCGCCGCCGCGATTGACCGTCTGGCGGATGCGCAGGAAGCGGCCGCGCTGGTTCTCCTTCAGGTCCAGGTAGTACTTGCGGTTCTCGCGCACCAGGAACTCGCTCTTGAGCGCGCGCCGCGGCCCGCCGCCCTCCTCGGCGCCCGCTGCCAACTGCTCGGGGCTGCTGGGGCCCAGCTGCGCGTAGTGCTCGATGAAGTCTCCCAGCGAGTCACGGAACTCGGCGGCCACCGCCATGGACAGCGTGAGACGGCTCTTGGAGCCGCCCGCGCCCACCTCAGCGATCTTGAGGAAGCGGCCTTTGGCGTTCTGCTTCACATCCAGGTAGAAGCGTTTGTTCTGGATGTCCAGCCGTTTCGAGGCCAGCTCCTGCGTCTCCTGTTCGCCGCCGCCGCGAGGCGCGGGCTGGAAGCCGCCGGGCCCGCCGCCGCCGCGCTCGCTGCCGCTGTCGCCGTCCGCCATCTTCTCGGCCGCCGCCTCCCGCCGCGCTCGCGCCCCCGCCCTCCGCCCTGCGGCTCGCGCTCCGGGGGCCCCCCAGCCTCGCCCGCGGCTCCTCACGCGCGCCCGCCGCTCATCGCCGGCCTCCGCCGCCCCCCATCGCCTCCGCGCCCCGCCCCCGCGGCTTCCGCGCAGCACGGCCCGCTTCCGGCGCGCGGTTTCCCGTGACGTCACTCCGCCCGCCCGCCACCGCCTCTCGGCCGGAAGCGCCGTGCGCCACGACGGCGCGGCGCAGGTGTGACGTCACGGGCTGCGCCAGGCGGGAGGCTCGGTGAAAGTGGGCCTTGCTGGCCTCTGAGTAGTCGGCCAGTTACCTCTGTGCCCTAGTGCTTGTGGCGCGTTCTCTTGTTACACCTGAATAAAGTCCTTATCCCTTCGCCCTACGGGCACCTTCAGCTCCCGCCCCCACGTCCCGCTGCACTGTGGACGGGACGCAGCCCCGTTCTTGGAGCTCTACGGCAACCGGGCTGAAACGTACTTTGAAGCAGCCAGAAGTGGGGGCTGATGGGTCTGTGAGTCTTAAGAGGAGTCAGGACACGAGACTGAAGGACAAGCTGTGGTGGCCCGGGGGTTGGAGAAGAGCTTACCTAGCAGATGGGAAGGAGTACATAGGGACACAGAATCTGCGCTGGGAGCTGAGGACAGCTGGGGTGGGGGTGTTTGGGTCTGTGGAGTGACCGTAGGTGACATTGGAGGTTATGATAGCTCAAGGAAGGCCCTCTGTAGTGCACACCCAAGTCTAGAGATCTCATATGTGATCAGATTCACAATTTGGAAAGATCGTGGGTAAAATATAGAAGGTAGTTGAATGACGTGAGATTTTTGAATCCATAGTTAAATAAACAAGCTCTTCTTGTCCATGCACTTACTAGTCATTTTAAAGGGTTAAGGAAATCAACCCTGCTAGGCTTTAATTTCATTATCAATAGATGTGAATAACTTTGATTCGACCTTTTGCTTTAAGGTGCAAAAAAGAATAAAAAGAGGCTCCATTTAAATAGTGTCAAAGAAATGTAGACAAAGAAAAAGAAGCATTGCAGTCTCACGGTCCGGATTTGAATCTAAGTGACATTGACCAGTTATTAATTTTCCCAAGCCAGAGTTTCCTCATCCTTAAATGTAGTTATTAACAAATAATAATTGACAAAGGACTGTGACCAGAAGATATAAAGAACATTTAGAACTTACGAACAAGACGACACAGTATAAAAACATGGGCAAAATATTTTAACAGACACTTTGCCACTGAAGATATACAGTAGTTGATAAGAACAATGAAACAATGCTTGGCATCACTAATCCTTAGGGAAATGTAAATTAAAATCATAATTAAATATCACTAAACGATAGAGTGGCTAAAATTTAAAAAGACTGACAATCAAATGTTGGCAAAGATGTGGAGAAACTGGAATTCTCATACTGCTGGTGGGAATGTAAAGTGACATTTTTGGAAAACAGTTTAGTAGGTTGTTTTTTAATAATTTTAACTAGCACATAGTAATAGTCCCTATGTGTAGGGTACCATGTGATGTTTTGATACTTGGATACATTGTTTAGGCAGTTAATTATGAACATACTTGCCATAATGCCTAATTGTTCCACTGCTAAGTATTTACCCAGGGAAAATAAAAGTGTGTCCATAGAAAACATACTGTATGACTTTAAAAAATTAGAAAATAATGTATAAACATATATATATGTATGTGTATATATATATATATATATATATATATATATACACACACACACACACACACATACACACACACACACACACACCTAGTGGGGGTGGGCTGGTCTGAGATTCTCAAGCTGCTCTGCTAGACTGCTCTGCTAAAATGTGCTGCTTTGATGCATCTTTGGAATGTCAAATTTCTTTCTCCAGTTTATTCCTTCTTGGAAGCCTTATATAAGAATATGTACATGTATATATGTGTGTGTGTGTGTGTGTGTGTGTGTATGGAAGCAAATAAGTAGTGGCCTGGGCATAGAGGGAGGGATAGATTGGACGGGGACATCAGGGAACTTTCAGGGTGGAAGTTTTATTTTGTGGTAGTAGTTTCACAGATGTGCCAAAAAGTCACTGATATATACAGCTTATTTTAGATTATACGTCTATAAAGTAGTTACTGGTTTTGGAAAAGAAAAAATTAAAGAGGATATTCAGGAGATCTACATTTAAGAAAATACCTTGTAGGATTGTCAGACATAATCCTTGAAAAATGTTTAGCATAATACCTAAATTATAGTGAGTACTTAATAAGTGGACCCAGGAGTGAGTTCAGAAAAGGGTAATAAGTATGGAGATCAGGTTGAGATCCTCCAGCAGACAGGGTGGGTTTAATGTCAAGCTTCTAGGAGAAGGAGAGTCAAATTTGGGTCTTGGACATATCTACCCTTGGAGAGGATTTTAACATTTCAAATTCTTAGGGAAGGAATGCAATGTCAAGTATCACTAGACATTCATGAAAGATACGCACCCATCTCCTGTAACTTGCTAACCAAACCACTTTCTGATTTCTGATTTCCCTGTGTCAGAGACCCCAACATTCAGTTCAAGCAAATGACTCTACCTTTCTGTTCATTTTTTTAAAAATATTTTTTTAAGTTGTTAATGGACCTTTATTTTATTTATTTATATGTGGTACTGAGAATCGAACGCAATGCCTCACATGTGCTAGGCAAGCACTCTACAACTGAGCCACAACCCCAGCCTATCAGTTTGGTTTTAATGAGTCAGTTCTATTTAGTGAGTCAGATCTGTTTTTTGTTTTTTTTTTTTTTTTTGAAATTTTATTCTTTGATAAAAGCCTAGCATTTTCTCCCCTTTCAGATATTTAATAATCACATTTTTGAGACTTTTTTAAAAATATATTTTTTAGTTGTATATGGATGCAGTATCTTTATTTTGTTGATTTACTTTTATGTGGTGCTGAGAATCAAACCCAGTACCTCACACCTGGGAGGCAAGCGTTTTACTGCTGAGCCACACCCCAGCCACTAAGAGACTTTTTAAAATATATATTTATTTTTTTAATGTGGTGCTGATGATCAAACTCAGTGCCTCACGGATGCGAGGCAAGCACTCAACTGCTGAGCTACAGCCCCAGTCCCACATTTTTGAGACGTTTTATGATTTTATTTTGAATATATGTAATTATAGTTTTATATTTAACTCCAGTTCATCTGGGATACATTTTGATGTGTAGCACGAAGTGAAGAATCTAAAAAATTTCCTTCAAATGAGTAACCAATTGTCCTAGTACTATTTATTGAATAATCCTTCAAGGATGGATCTCAACAGGTGGAGATAGGGGTATGCTATTTTGGGCAGAGGGAACATATGTCCCCAGATGGTGAGAATATGATTTGGCTGGAGCCCAGGGTCTGTGAGGAATGGATGGTGAACAATGGAACTGGAGGTAGCTGGACCTGGGCTGATAGAGGCCCTTGACTTTGCAAGCAGGGAGTTTGGGCTTGGTTAAGAGTGACTGGGTGGGGGAGACACACCATAACTATATAAATAGGAGCATGGTACATTCGGGTATGTGCTTTGGGGACATGATGCATGGCAGAAGATAGCATGAGTGGGAAGAAGTGGGACCAATGATGGGCCCATGGTTAAGAGGAAATGACTGCTATGAACCAGGCTAGCAAGGACTAGCCATGGCTGGGCAGGAGGGTCAGGATTGAAAAACAACATGGGGCCACCAGAGAGGAGTGGAGGAATATTTTGAGGCAAATTCTTGAGTGAGTAGAGACAGGGGCTGACCTTAGCAGACAATGATGTTCAAGAGCAAGAGTTCTTTGGATAAAGGTTATATCCAGTACTGAGCTGAGACTTCTAGAGGCTCCCAGTGCTACAGATGTTAGGTACTTCTCAGTATAATTCACAATAATGGAGCACAATAGAATGTGCTGCTTTGATGCATCTTTGGAATGTCAAATTTCTTTCTTCATTTTATTCCTTCTTGACAGCTGTAAGCTCCTGCTTTTTAATAAATTGAGCATGAGTGAGAATGAGTAAATTGAATAAATTTACTTATTTAGTTAAACTCAAGAGGCTGACTGGCTGACTGTGGGAAGATGTCCTTATGACTCTGGGACTCAGGTGGAGTCCAGTACAGGGGTGTGTGACAGAGATGCAGATTGAGGTGCTGTCACCAGATAGGTGGATTGTATATCAGACTTTTGGAGGTTGTGTAGAGAATTTAGGGACAGGTGAACTGGATGAGGAGAGAGAACGAATAATTGGAGGTCACATGTGTTAGTTCATTCTGAGCTGCACATGGGCTTCCTGCATGTCTTGGAAACCCACCACAAATCACACAGCTCTTAGGAGATAGATCATAGACTGAATCTCAAGTTCCCCCTTCCAAATATTGTGTTCTTGATGCTTTCACTTTGGGAATCGGGGAGGTGGTTGAAGCCAAATGGCAAAGCACTCACAAGCAAATGTGTGAGCAGGAAGTGTGGATGGAGGAACCATCCTGTGATAGGCCAGAAAAGGATGGGAATGTGTGAAGGAAAGCAAGATGGAAGCTGTTCTATTCCAAAGAGAGTGAAGTTACTCCCAGACTGAAGAGGTATGGGTCTTGACAGAGCCCTTAAGTGAGGCCTGGAGCAGGTGCAGGAGACGGGCACATGGGAAAGGGATGGAGGCCTGAAAAGTAAGAAGCATTATCTTCCTTCTGAGACCAGGAACAGAAGAAGAGACCCAAGAGCCTCTGGTGGAAGGGAGGGAAATTGGAGCAGTTGATTCCGAAAGAGCCCAAGAGTGAGGCCAGCATGTGAGCATCTCCAATTTACAGGTGAGGTAATTCAGTCCCAGGGGACTGGGCAGCAAAGTTCTGGTTCTGTAACGTGTACACCCTCTAAGGGAGTAGTTCAGGTTGAACAGGGCATTACAGCCATACTTAAAGACTCCCAGACCAGGCCCCCCACACTACACATGAGGGCCTTCCTTCTGAGGAGGAAGCAAGAAAGACCCAAAACCTGAGGCTGGAGGCTGGACTGGACTAGGAGCCCTGCTGAGCAACCCTAGCAAGCCAAGACTGGGGTAGAAGCAGGGTGTCCTTGATTCACACACCATGAGGAGTGTAGAGGCTGGGCTTAGGACAGCAGATGGAAGTGGATCTTGCCAGGGCTGAGAGATGGTAAGGGGGCAGGGGATGCCAGGGCCTGGGGATGGTGACCTCAGATGACCAGCCTTGGCAGGGCCAAGCTGTGGCATTGGAGGGAGCTGAACCAGAAGAATGAGGGAGGGTTCACATATTGTGGGAAAGGCATGCCTTTTGCATTTTTTGCCTCTTAAACTTGAAATTTAAATTTAAAGAACAGTTGTAAGAGTAGGCCTCTTCAAGCCAGGCACAGTGACACATGCCTCTTATCCCAGCTACTTGGGAGCATCCTCTGCTTAAGCAAGGCCATCCTGGGCAAATTAGTAAGGCCCTGTCTCAAAATAAAAAATTCAAAAAGGATTGAGGATATAGTTCAGTGGTAGAACATAGAACATCCCTGGATTCAATTCCTGGTTCAAAAAATAAAGAAATAAAAAACTTTCCCAAAATTCTCCCAAATGTTAACATGTCACCTTATTTGCTTTAGCATTCTGTCTCTCTTGCCTTTCTTTGTGTCTGCCTATGCCATCTTATTTTCCCTTCCTGTGTCTCTCTCCATCTCTGGCTCAATGTCTCTGTCTATACTTATATTTCCTTCTGAACCATTTGAGAGTAAACTGAAGACTATGACACTTCTTTACCCTTAAATACTTTGGTATCTATTTCCCAAAACAAGGACCTTCTCTTACTGCACTGGAGCAGCATTATCAAAATCAAGAAAGTAGCACAGGCAGTGTGCTGTTATCTGTGTACTTTGTTCATTTTGTGCCCAAATGTCCTGACTGCATCCTCTGCAACCTGGAAGAATCCCACAGCATTAGCTGCTACATCTCCTTCTCTCTACTTTGGAATCAACCCTAGGTCTCTGTTCATCTGCATCAGTCACATTTGGAAGAGTGAAAACTGGTATTTTGTAGATCACCTCTCTGGATCTGGAGATGCTTCTTGACAACCCTCTGGAACTGTCTGCCACTCTAGATGTTCCAGTCCCCCCACTGCAAGCAAAGGCTGCTCATATGCCAACCCAGCCTGTGCCTGAAGCCAGGGGGAAGATGGGGATAGATGGTTTTTGAAGTTTCAGAGTCAGGGGCTGGCAAAGGGGCCTGGGGACCTGCAAAAGGGTTTCATGACCAAACATAGTGAAAACTACATCTACTCCAGGCCCTCCTGTTTTGAGTTGTCCTGTTTTGGAAGCTGTGGGTTTTATGGTCTTTTCTGTTCTTTCCCATTCAGGATGAAACCAGACTGGAGGGAATTAGGAAGGTGACAGCTTACAGGCAACCAGTGTGGCAGGCCACCAGTCTGGCAGAGTTGCTTGAGACTCCCAGACCAGCCCCACCACACTACACATGCATGGCAACTTCACACTTCTGGACCAAATATCCCATTGAGGACTCCAATGACATCTTAGATTTGTATGGCTGAAAGCAAGTTTGTGCTTCTTCCACAGTTAAGAGATTGCCTCATCTTGGCTCTGGATGGAAGGCTGCACCTGCTGTTTATTTGGGGAATTTTTGTCTTCTGTGAGGTGGAAAATCAATTCCTTGCATGACTGTTAGGTTCTCAAGAGAACTGTTTCTCAGCCTCAAGGCTTAGCAGTCACACTCTGTCACCCCCAACCCACAATTTACAATTCTCTGAGCACCCCAGAGGTGGAAAGGCCATTTTAAGTAAGACTGTAATGCCCTGTTCAACCTGAACTACTCCCTTGGAGAATGTACATGTTACAGAACCAGAATCTTGGAATGTACCTGATCCCCTGTTGCCTAGGCCCCTGGGATTGAATTAACTCATGTCTGTGGATCACGCCCCCTTCTCACCTGTAAATTGAAGATGCTCACATGCGGCTCAGAGAGCTCCTCTGAACTGTTGGGAATACATATGCAAATGGCTTGGTGGATGTGGATCTGTACTCAGAGACATTGCTGTTATTGTTGATATTATTCATAAAGGTGACTGAAAACCTCCACAAATCTCCTGGCTGACTCCATATTCTAGAAAGATCCTACTAACTTCAGCTAATGTTGAGTTACAAGAACATACAGATAAAACACTGATGTATTTTTGTCATTCTGTGGGAAGTATCTTTGTTGGACAAGAGAGTTGAAACTTCCAAATTTGAAGAGAATATCAGAATATTAGACAGGAAAAGGTCAAAACTAGGGTCTTTGGGGTTTGAACTCCCCCCTGCAAATTATACCCTGAAACAGGAGGGGAAAGATTGACACACAGGACCTCTCATAGGGTGACCTTTCCTCTCGTGGGCTCCCTCAGCCAACAGCTGAGTGTGCAGAGCCTCCTCCTAGACTCCAGCTGCCCAGCCCCAGCTGGAGCCAGCTGTTGTGCCAACAAAGCCTCCAGTTAGGACTCTTGCCCCAGCTGCTGTGGGGAACAGGTTTGCCCTTTCAAAGCGCCCCATAGGTCACTTGTGGTCTTTCTATGGAGCCAGCCAAGAGCCCATCTGTTCTGGTTTCTCACTCACCCAGAAAATCCCAGTACTCCCCCACACCCACCAGCACCCTCCCCCCACTTCCCAGGGATTCTATTTCTGCCTCCCCTGAACCTTCCAGAAGGGCCTTCTGGCTCAGAACCGGCCCCTGCCTGGTTACTCCGTCTGCCCTTCTGCCTGATTAGAGCAAGGGTCTCACATAGGCTGGATGATGCCCAAGTCTGCACTGAGCACAAAGCAAGGCCATGTGATGAAGGAGGATATTTCTGTGGGCTATTAATGATGATGGCTTCAACAATATTCACAGCCTTTAAAATATCTTTATCTAAAGGAAGTTACAAATATAGAAAGAGGAAAGATTAGACAAACCCTGTGGATTGAAATCAGAGATGTTGGTATGAACTTGTGATTGTATTACACGCATGTACACACACATGCAGATAATATTGAAACACACATATGTTCATATTCATACACATGCAAATATAGAAATATATATTCACATACTTAGAGACATATATATACACAGATATAGAAATTCATAAACATATATACACAAATGCAGATAGATGTAAAACACATTCACACAAATGCTGGTAGATAGATATCAAAATAAATAATATGTGCACATGCAGATAAAGAAATATACATATATACCTGCAGATAAATTTAGATATAAACACAGATGGGCATAGATATGAGCATATTTTTTCCTGTACTGGATATTAAATCCAGGGATGCTGTACCACTGAGCTACATTCCAAGCACTTTTTATTTTTTATTTTTAATACAGGGTCTCGTTGAGTTTTGTAATCCTCCTGCCTCAGCCTCCTAAGTTGCTGGAATTATTGGTGTGCACAAACATGTCCAGTGAATGTGTGTGTATGTATAGATATATATTTCCTAGAAGCATGATGCCCAATGGAAATGAGCACAACCAGAACCCCGATCTTTGTTTCTTAATACTATTCTCTATTGAAAGGAGCCAGACCTCATTGGAGAAATGGTTGATTACAGGACTGGAAGAGAAGAAAGTACAAGTTAAACTTGGACTATTGATTTCAGAAAGTAAGCACTCAAAAAGTGGACATGTTAGAAGGATACTCATATTAACTAAATATGAGACAATTTAATAATTAAATAAATGGTGATAGTAACAGATTATCAGCCACAGAATAAGAATCCATGTATGCATGCAGGTATAATAAATGAGAGCCAGAAAGGCTCTTCCTTATAGTGAAACACAGTGATAAATATAGAAAGAGTGATGGAATTTGAAACCAGTGGGTGGAAGTTTGCTGAGTAAAGTGGATGTGTACATAGTTTCAAAGTATCTCCCCGTAAATACTTATTAATTACATGGGAAAAATAGCAACTCAGTAAACATGACTGTGATCACAGTTAACATCAGCAAAAGTGGGACAATGGACATCATGAGGTGCCTGATATAATATGGAGAAAGAATCAGCCTCAGGTCTGTAGTATTCCTATAAAAAAATACAAGCCAAGGGGCTGGGGCTGGGTCAGCAGTAGAGTGTTTGCCTAGCACAGGCAAGGATAAGTGCTGGGTTTGATCCTCAGCACCATATGATAATAAATAAATAAATAAAGGTATTATGCAAGCCAAAATGGAGGAACTGTGATGGGGCAAAGGGGAGGGAAAGGATGGGAGAGGGTATGGGGATAGGAAAGATGGTGGAATGAGATGGACATCATTACTCTAGGTACATGTATGGCTGCACATATGGTGCAATGCTACATCATGTACAACCAGAGAAATAAAAAGTTGTGCTGCAGTTGTGTACAGTGAATCAAAATGCATTCTGCCGGGGGTGGGGGGGCTGGGGTTGTGACTCAGAGGTAGAACACTTGCCTAGTATGCATGAAGCACTGGGTTCGATCCTCAGCATAATACCTTTATAAAAATAAAGGTATTATGTCCACCCACAACTAAAAAGTTAAAAAAAAAAGTTTATTTTTTTATTTTATTATTTATTTATTTTATTATTTATATATTTTTATTTATATATATTTATATATTTTATTATTTATTTATTTTATTATTTATTCTAATTAGGTATATATGACAGCATTCTGCTGTCATATATACCTAATAGAATAAATAAATAAATAAATAAGATGCTTTTTAAAATTTTTCTATTTGTTTTAATTAGTTATAATGACAGTAGAATGCATTTATGCACTTTGATATATCATACATAGATGGAATATAATTTTATTTTTCTGAGTGTACATGTTGCAGAATCATATTGGTCATGTACTCACATATATACATATAGTAAGAATGTCTGTTTTTTCTACTTTCTTTCCTATCCCCACATCCTCTCCCCTCCCCTCCCATAACTTCCCTCTACCTAATCTAAGGTAACGCTATTCTTCCCTAGTGCCCCCTGTCTTATTGTGAATTAGCATCCACATATTAGAGAAAATATTTGGCCTTTGGTTTTTTGGAATTGGCTTATTTTGCTTAGCATGATATTCACCAACTCCAACCATTTAGTGGAAAATGCCATAATTTCATTCTTCTTTAAAGCTGAGTAATATTCCATTGAGTATATATACCACATTTTCTTTATCCATTCATCTATTGAGAGATACCTAGGTTGGTTTCATAATCTAGCTACTGTGAATTGAGCTGCTATAAACATTGATGTGGCTGCATCACTATAGTATGCTGATTTTAAGTCCTTTAGGTATAAATCAAGAAGTGGGATAGCTGGTTCAAATGGTGATTCCATTCCCAGTTTTCTGAGGAATCTTCATACTGCTTTTCATATTGGTTGCACCAAACTGCAGTCCCACCATCAATGTATGAGCATACCTTTTCCCCATATTCTCACCAACATTTTTTGTTGCTTGTATTCTTGATGATTGCCATTCTGACAGGAGTGAGATGAACTCTTAGTGTAGTTTTGATTTGCATTTCTGTAATTGCTAGAGATGTTGAACCACTTTTTCATATATTTGTTGATCAATTGTATTTCTTCTTCTGTGAAGTGTCTGTTCAGTTCCTTGGCCCATTTATTGATTGGGTTATTTGGTTTTTTAAATATTTTATTTTTTAGTTGTAGTTGGACACAATATCTTTAATTATTTGTTTATTTTTATGTGGTGCTTAGGATTGAACCCAAAGCCTCGCCCATGCTACGCAAGCATTCTACTGCTGAGCCACAACCCCAGTCCTGGGTTATTTGTTTCTTTTGGTATTAAGTTTTTTGAGTATTTTGTATATCCTAGAGATTAATGCTTTATTGGAGGTGCATGTGGTAAAGATTTTCTCCCAGTCTGTAGGCTGTCTTCTCACATTATTATCCGGGATGCTTTTAAGTACTTTCTGTGTTCTGCACTGGAGAGCAGCTACTTCTGAATCTTCTTTTTCTACATACATACCTGCAAACTCCTTTGGGTCAGGAACTATACCTTGTTTTTGTGTTTCTTTTATAGTAAAACAGTAAATACTTGGTGGAATTGAATAGAATTCAAGAAGTGTGCAGTTTTTAATTTCCTTTTCTTTGGGGGGAGTCATTTATTAAGTACAAAAACAGAACACACATTAAACAATCATAACTGAGTTACAACTGGTCATCCCAATGTGTCACTATTTTTCCTCCTATTAAAAAATATTTTCTCATTTTAGGGAGGTGGCATGTCTATAATCCCAGCTCCTGTAATTGGGAGGCTAAGGCATGAGGATCCTAAGTTTGAAGCTAGTCTGGGTGACTTAGTAAGACACTTTCTCAAAAATAAGATTTTGAAACAGGTTGAGGATAGGGCTGGGGTTGTGGCTCAGTGGTAGAGCAGTCACCTAACATGTGTGAGGCCTTGGGTTCAATCCTCATCACCACATAAAAATAAATAAATAAAATAAAGGTATGGTATCCAACTTCAGCTAAAAAATAAATATTAAAAAAAAAGAAAAAGGTTGAGGATGTATGTAGTTCAGTGGTAGAACACTTTCAGAGCATGTGTGGGGCTCTGGGTTCAATTCCTAGCACAGTGTTCTCTTTTTTAAATTAAGTTTTTATTGTAGAGAATTTGGAAAATTAAGAAAAGAAAAAAATAGGAAAATGTAAATGATTCAGATTGCCATTTGCCAACCAAAGATTTACTGCCTATCCTTCTTATTCCTATGTAAAAACTTAATGCAATTTTACATGTAAGTGTGCATATAATACACATTTGTGTTACAAAACAAAGATCCTATTATGCATGCTGATATATAATGTTCAATTTTTATTTTGTGCACAGAATTAGATCTATCCATTTATCTGACAGATTTATCATAAGGAATTGGCTCACACTATTGTGAAGCTGGGAAGTCTGAAATCTTCAGGCAGGCCACAGGCTGGAAGCCCAGGGAGTTGATGTTGTGGCTGGAATCTGAAGGCTGTCTGGAGGCATAATTCCCAAGGGAGGACCTCAGTTTTTTGTTTTTCTTTTTATGGCCTTCAACTAATTGGATAAGACCCACCCACAGTATGAAAGATCATCTACTTTACACAAAATACTACTGACTTGAATCTCCGCCCCCCTCCCCAAGCACTGGAATCAAACCCAGGAATATTCTATTTTATTTTGAGACAGGGTCTTATTAAGTTCT